ATCCATATGAATTTTAAAAGAAAATTATGTTCTTGAAGAACAACACACGGTTACATGTATGTCACAAAATGTAGTACTGATAAACATAACTGATCACTTACATGAACAACCGGGATAGTATCCAGATTCAGATGACAGACCATCTTGACAAAGAACCGGTCCATTACCTAAATTAAAATTATAAAACACACGAAAAGGATAAGGATCAGCGATACATAATCTAAAACATAGAGACATTTCTTCAAAATCATGGTGATATGATCATTTTTATTAACAAAATTTGTTTTATGTATATTTTAATGTTACTTGTAAGGTTTCTTCATTAAACAAAAAATAATATTGAAAATTCTTCAAAGATAAGGTAATATACTGTCTTTAAGTATTCGCGAAAGGTCAGATTTCGTTTGAAATCTTAATGTTTGAGAGAAAAAAGCGTATTTTACAAAAAAAATCTTGTTTCCTCAAAGACATGTTTTGTTTAACCCACAATACATTATTTTGTATTTATTTCATAAAAGCTGTACATTTTGAAGAAAATAGAATCTACAAGTATGTTACCATTTTTATTCACTAGAACTGACATATCAATAGCCGCAAAAAATCTTAATCAAAGGTATGTACTAAAATCCTATTAAGGTTTGCATCATATGCCAACGCAAACACATTATATATTATAATACGCACATGCGTAGAGACATGTGAAAGATTATGAAACGTGATGCAAAAAATATTTTGTTGTTAAATAAATCATGTGATGAATTAAAAACTATTACCAAAACAATACGCTGCATTTTTTGTAGTGTTCTGTAAAAAATATATAAAATAATTTCCACAGTTTTTTATTTGAACATTAAAAGACGTTCCACAGGTGCTGTTTTCTGTTTGAAGACATGTTGTTGCTGTCACATTACCATCAGAAACGGTTGGAAGTGTCCCTGAAAATATGATAGCACCATTTATTTAGGTTTTTTTTACGTAAACTTAAGAGAATTTGATAGTATCATAAGCCCAGTAGCAGTAATTCGGTACTGGTTTAAAAAATCGGATATTGTTTTATTTAATGTGCTGTTATAAAATTTCAAAATCATTTTAAAATAAGAAATGTATCTCCCTCATGCAAAGCTATGATTCCTTGTTAGGATTTTGCTTTATTTTTGGTCTTTTTTTTTTGGTTTCACCAGTTCTTCAACGTTGGTTCTTGAGTTTTACAAATATTTTGGCCTCGAGCATCACTAAAATTTAGTGTCTAAATAAGCATCTGTTGCAGTACAATTTGTACTGTTAACGTTACAATTTCAGCAAGAATTTTATGAATATTTCAAAATACTGAAAACTCGCAGTGATTTAAATATCGTCTATGGACAATTAAAATATGCAGAAAAGAAGTCACTGAAGATACAAGGCTTATAATTTTGTACGGCAGACGCGATTTTCGTCTACAAAAGAAACAACAGTGACGATTGAATCAAAAGAAGTTCAAAGGTCAAATAAAGTACGAAGTTGAAGATCGTTGAGGACCAAAAATTCCGAAAGGTTTTGCCAAAAACAGCGAAGGTAATCTATGTCAAAGATGACTATTAACTTCTATTTTTTTATATTTCCCAAAAAGTTTGTTTTTTTATCAAAGAAAAAAAAACGTGATATGTAATCCATCAACTTATTTATTAAAATTTTACAATTTCAACAATTTATGACACCAATGCGGCTTCTGGTATTACTTGAATACATTACTAATATATATCGCTCTGTCATATTTTATTCTGAATAAGAAGGGAATTTATGAGTAACTAATCAAGAATCTGTTTAAAACACCAAACAAAAATAATAAATTTCAGATTCGCAAAAAATTAGGAGAGAATAAAAATCAACAAATAAGATGTTAAATTGATTCTGGTTTTTCAAAGAATACTAATGTATTAAGTAGGCAGAAATCTATTTTTTATCTGCTTAGTTCTAGACTGACCGGGTTATTTATTTGAAGAAAATATAAGAATATTCTTTCCCCGTATGATTCAAAAGGAACATATTTTCTATTGTAGTCGTTAAATATTAAATATAAACATAAAAAGATAACACAAAATATCGTCCTATTTTTACAAGATTAAGATATAATCAATAAGACAATTCACCACCGATGTATAAAACATTTTCTAGCAGACTGGGTAGTTATTCACAATGTTATTACAACGGACGATACATCATCAAAACACCCAGATTACCTAAAGGACATTGAATTACTGAAATTTTATATATATATCTATTACAAAGTTGCCAGAAATAGAGACTTTTAACATTTTGAACATCTATAGCATAACTCACCTTCTGAACGTTACTTTTATGAAACCATACGTCAGAAAGCTTAATATTAAATGATGTGGACCCTTGTCATAATGCGTTTTTGACCGCACCATACAGTCATTTGGATTTGAAAACTTGTGATGAAGTAATGTGACTTTACAGTTTTTGGTATAACGGAGCCAAATGACACATCGGGAACACTGTAAGCTTGAGTTCATGTGTTTTGACATACATTTCATTCTTGGTAGGTTTATTTGAACTCGTGTTTTGTTGGCCATATTGTACTAATATTTCAATTTGATAACTTTGTCTAGTGTGTTGAGAATTTGACAGTCTTTGGCATATCTTAGCATAATAAAAAAATGTGAACGCTTCTTCTCTGTGACTTTATTTTCGAAAGCTTTTATATTTTGTGAGATAAATTGTAGCGTGTGTCAACCGATTAACCGAAGGACCAAAAACGTAAACGTTAATCGATTAATCGTTTTTTTTTGAATGCTAATAGATTTGCTATAAATGTATATTAAAACCATAAATAACAATGCTAAATTTTAAAATGAGCATCGTGGTGCTTAGTGAAATCTGTTGTTCAGTGAATTCATTTATTGATTTACAATGAAACCATTTCAACTTTACATAATTGATTGACACATGCGCATAGGGCGAAGGACATTTTAGCGAAAAATATAAAACTACTATCTTAGGGGATAATTGAGCGCAAACTTTATTGCCAATCTAAATCCGGATTAATTTGTTCACCTTTATTTTCGATAGCCCATTTTATACCCAGATGAATAATCTTCACTTTTCTAAAACCGTGAACTATAATTTATGTTGGTTTGATGTTTACGTTGTTTGCATTTACAATTTGGTTAAACATAGAAATAAATGTTGTTGAAACTAATAGGAAACAAAAGTGCATTATGCGATCGTTTTTTCTGGATACTATCATCAAAAACATACAACAGAATATACTAAAAAAAAAAGTATCGATGAATCTGCTCCTCAATCTAGACAAGATAAATAGAAAGAACAAAAGCTAATCAAAATGTTATGAACAATATTGTACAGGGGTTATATCGAGAGCCTATTGCGTACGTTTTCTTGGATATAAATTCCGGGCTTAGACGTACTTGAAACATATTAGTAAACCTTTCAGACATTAAGTGCTGTTTTTTAATGGACATGGTATCTTTTATGTTGCAAAGTATTCATACTATTGAAATGTTATTCTGTTATGAACTAATTTCTGCTGCCAAAACCGGTACTTATAATTTCACTTTTGCTAAAATGGGTTACACTTTGTCGCTAGAGTGTCCGATTTTTTTACGCTAAAATGTCCTCCGCCGACTGACACAAAAACATTTCGTCTATCAACTTGGATAAAATCTTAAGTAAACCTTGTATCATGGCATGAACAATTTAGAACGATCTAGAAAAGGATAAGAAGATAAACTTCAATACATCATATCACATAATTATAGATATATCGATAGTTTTTCAAATAAAAGGGTGTTTCTCGGGAACAATTGCATCGAAGGGCGACAACCCTGAGATGAGATGTGGCCGAGAAACATTCTCGAGTCTGAAAGATCATTGATAGCCTGTTTATCGTTAGTTTTCCTATGACGTCGTTGAATTTCTATCTCAAGCGAGTAGCATGATATTTATAGATTTTCGATGGTTTTTCAAACGAAATTGGTTTTCTCAGCTACAATGTCATCGAAGGACGACAGCCCTGAGATGAGATATGGCCGAAAAACATCCTCGAGTTTGAAAGGTCGTTGATAATCAAATATATTTATCGCTATTTTGCCTATGGCGTCGGTGATTTTTTCATTGAAAACTGCACGTGCGTCCTTAGTTTCTATCTTAAGCGAGTAGTATGATATGAAAAATGATCATTAGACTAAGATCAAAGGAAAAATACACAAATTAGCGATAACTATGACCTAAGCATTCGTAAAAAGTATTGCATACATCAAATTTCATTACGGTTAATGATTAATCGGTAGGAATACCATCGATTAATCGGTTTGGAAAAAATGTTAAATTTGACAACACTAATAATTTTCCTTTTTATTTGTTTTGATAATACTTCGGTATGCATGCAAGACAATTATTGCGGAAGTAAGATTTTCATCATCTTGACATATTGTAACATAAAGGCACCTTTTGAACGCTTCTCTCCTTTGGTTGTTTTAAAAAATGATCTTACTTAATAGGAATGTTTTGCATTATGTTTAGACATAAAGACACCTTGTAAACACTTTACCTCTGAGGACATATGCAAAAAGCTATCATAGCAAGTGAAATTGTTTGAAAAAAGTGTTAAGTGACGCTTGATGGTTTATGACAATTAGATCACAATTCACTGTAACTTCACAGGAAAATCTAGAGTTTTTTTTTAATTTTCTCATTCCTAAATTTTCAAAATAACTATATTCTCATAGCAATGGGAATAATAATAGCATAATCTGAAAACTATATTGACAAGATAATCTGTATATACGTTTCACACAGTCTTTCTTCGTTCAAGTGGCAGGAGGGTTTTCGCTATATTGTAGCAATCTTTTCTTTCTTTATTAAATTGAATACCTAACTGACTATCTTTTTTGGCCTATTGTACTTCATTTTTAAATATATATTTTTTTTTGACTTAGTGAACAATTAAATTCATTTACCACGGACACCTTTCTTACCATTCATCCAAACAGGATTATAAGTCCCGCAATGAAAAGCACCAGGTGGATATGTTGGCATTTGATCTCCATTTTCACTTTTAATCCGATACCATGCTCCTTCTAAATTTTCGTCACTGATGGGAATATAGTTTGACATTTCTGATACAAAGTCTGCTGACCTTTTCTCTTGATTTTCCATGTTTTTGTGTTTAAAGCATTCGTCTAAATAAGATAAATACAGACTTATATGTTCTTGAAGGATTGACAGCAACCTAAGTTAAGTTGCAACGAATTTCATATTTAGGACGAGAGTATATCGATAATGACAATAATACATACATATAGCATGTATTTTACTAGACACGTGCAAGGTTATAATGTAATAGACGACATGAGGACATATCAGCTACTTAGACAAATTATTATGGTTTTGAGCCGACCAGTCTTTACTCTTTCCATTAGATCACACGTGCTTTCTGGAAAAATAGCAGTTTTTTCAAATTAGTTTGATCTACCATGAAATCGAATACATCTTTGATTTGATTTATCATGTACTCAAATACAGTTTAAACCCCTTACAGTACACTTGTAGGAAAGACTTAAAGAATACACATACATTTATGAATTTGGTGATCAGGAATTCTGATGTAAAAATACTAAACGAAGTCACGTCTGAAGACGTTTAATCTGATGCCCTGTTATCTGGATGTCTAATTTTTATAACCCTTTTAACAGCTCTTGAAAGAATCATTGTCTTCTGAATTTTAATTAAATTGTATACATAATTTACAACACACGGACTTGAGTGTGCATGTAATGGTAGTATCTTTGGTTAGCTTGCTTTCCAACTGAACTATGGAATCATTATTAGCTTAGATATCACCTTCCTTTGGACGGAGTCAATAGTAAAGCAGAGAACTAATCAAAAGTAGGGACAGTATATAAACATTGTGATACCAGTTTTACCAGTCAGTTTAAAAATATATTTAAAATCTAGTATCAAGTATAAGCTAATTTACAAGCATGTTGTAGGTATGTTTGATTTGTCAATTCCATTTCATTTATAACTAGATTATTTACATGTGTAAGCCGTAGTTTACCATGATGTAAGAGTCTTGAGACTTTGACAGTCTTTGGCATATCCTAGCATAATAAAAAAATGTAAACGCTTCTTCTCTGTGACTTTATTTTCGAAAGCTTTTATATTTTGTGAGATAAATTGTAGCCTCTTGGTGTCTTGTGGAGAGTTGTCTCATTGGAAATCATACCACATCTTCTTATTTTTGTATTCATATCCTTATTATATACTAGTTTGTTTGTACATAAATAAAAAGAATATCATCATCTTTGATTTTGATGTGTATTTTTCGAGGGGTGCTATAGAAGGTGTAAATATAAGCTTAGTCAAAATCTTTGATATGTTCCTCTGACCATGCTCATGTAACCACGGTATTGTATTTTTTTGATTGATATTGAACAGTAGCGGGACAATAGATAACGAACTAACTTACGGGGATTTAAACAATGTATCTCAGTGGACAGTTTCAAATAATATTTAGTTTTTTTTTTACCATCTTCTGCAGTGATGAAAAAAAAAATGCACATCAAAATCCGGTAATGTGTTTTTCAGAATCAAAATGAATGTAACTTTCATGTATATATAACTGATTTCTGCCAGGCCTTGAAAATTTTCCCTTTGCACATATATAAAAAGGATATAAGGAGGTTTTTTTTTTTAAATCGATAAAATCACTGTAAATTATACAGAATGACACATTTACAATGTAAATAATCTAGTTATAAATGAACATACTTTTATTAGGTAACTGATTGAAATGAAATTTACAAATCAAATACACCTTCAACAAATTAATAAATCCTCCAAAAAGAAGGTGGTACATTAGCTAATAATCATTTCATGGTTCAGCTAACCAAATATTCTACCTTTACCTACACACTCAAGTCCATGTGCTGTAAAGGTCTTTCTGATTAGTTCGCGTCCTGAATATGAAATGCTTAACACTTAGCCTTATCCACGAATGAATTAGTCAAATGTAACCATATTTGCTGTCGTCGTTTTCCTCTTCTTTTTTTTTAATTTTCAGAAAAAAAGAATAGAAAATACTCCTGTCTCATATCTTGAGTGTCCAATTCACTGTTGCATAAGTAATGATATTCAAATTGAAATATGTGTCCCTGGATGGTAAGCAAGCAGCAACCAAACATTAAGATGGTTATAAGTAATCAAATAGTAGGATTTGTATTAAGTGACAATTTTGATGTTCCCGTGTTTTAGTAAAAACAATTATGATTTAGTAATTTATGAATGTTCAGTACAAAGTACAACTCTTCAACGTAACTTAAAGCTGGCATTAGCTACAAGATATATAAAAAAAATTTTTTTTTTGTTCAATCATTAATGAAAGTGAAATAGTGAAATAATTATTCGCTTTTAGTAGCCAGTTTGGTTCATTTTTGTCAAAATAAGCTAAGAAACATCACTGATAAATTATTCACTTGCAAGTGAATAGTTCACCTCGTTGAATCCGTATTCATGTGACCTTCAATTTAAACCCTTAGCTTGAGATGGATTTCGCATGAATTAGACGTGTTCAGTTATTAAAAGGTAAAGAATTTCAACATTGAAAGTGAAACAAGGGTGAACCAATTGATTGACTGATTCGATCCACAAAAACTCATTCTTATACAGGTAAAAACGATGATTAACATATATTTTTAACCTATAATATGAAATCAAACAGACCTCGAAAAATCTAATTGCACGAGTTCGCTATCTATTTATATCTATATTAATGATTATATCGGGTTATATGACATTCGGCAGACTTCGGAGATCACCTCAATGGTAAATTAGATGTCGTCTATATTAAAATACACACGAAATGCTAATACATATTATCGAGCCCATGCATTGTAAATTGTTTATTTTAGACTTTTTGTAATATTGATATATTTAGTATGTTATTGATCAAATATGAGAATTTGTGTCAAATCGGTGAACATGAATTTGACACCTTAATGCCCCTTTAAAAATCTATTTTACTGTTTAGTTTCAAGTTGATGAATAATCTTTTTAAAAAGGTTGGTGTTCAAAAATACGACTTAAACATTCTTTTGAGCGGTCTACTCCAAAGTATAGAGCTGAAGGTTTTTTTCGTGGCACAACAGTGATACTCTTCCAATAAATGCCTACCATTAATTAACGTTCCTCTTTCTATAGACATAATTCGATTACGATACACCCCACACAACAGACGACCTTTGGGGAGGAATGCGGTTATCCTTCGACTGGAGAAGCTGTCAGTCACAAAAGGGTAGTTGTTCAGAAAAAAAAATATCAATTGGAAAATGTATCTATTAAACTAAAATTTATAAATTTCTATATCAGTTTTGGGCAATCGTGTATGTCTCCAAGGAAAGTAATCTGAACGTGTGTGTGTAGTGAGCATGATTCTACATTAGAACTTTCTGATGAAAATCCATTTTGCTTAACAACGATTTTAAGCTGATAATTTCATACCTTCAGATTTGAATATTTTCATGGCTGACACGGTACTCTGATACAAAAGCGTAGTTGTTGTCGAATTTTCCTTTTTAATTCTGTGTATGCCATTGTTCCAATCGGCATAATAAATATGCGTGGGACTGACGTCAATACCATACCCCTGGCTAGCACTGGCAATTGTCTCCTTATAATCTGTTCCGTTAAGTACGGTTGAAGGAATTGGTGAATATGCAAGATACGTCCAATAAATCCTATTATCATAAAGGTCTAAAAAAAAACCCACATCCTTCAAATTAGACACTAATTAACTAACTTCAGATGCTGATTTAATTAAAGCACATTATGATGATACGTATGGGAAAGTTAATAGCCAGAAATCAGAGGTTTGGGCTAATTTGCATCGTTATCAAGGCGTAGTCTGCTTTAGTCAAATAAATATATAGAATTCATTGGCAAAATCTCGAAAACAAACAAGTGGTCAATTTCCCAAAGTTAAGAATAAAAGTATATTCAAAATAACGTGGAAATGACTAACTCGGGGTTTCTGTTGTATCCGAAAATCAGAGACGAGATGGCCTTTCGCGTTATACTAGGAAATATAATGTAAAATGGTTGAAAACATTCATTTGGTAAACTTCATTATGAAATTAACCTACAAGTACACTTTGCGGACAGTTTTCCGAAAGTTATCTTTTCGTTAATTATAAGGCTTAACAAGTATAACTATTTTGAAATGGCATGTACAGGTATTGTACGGGAAATTTAGAGATAACTGTATTGTATTTGAAGCTTTGCGGACGTCCATCGGTAGTTTTACTGTCGCAAATTTAGTTTACCTGGCGACGCGTAGCGGAGACAGGTAAACGGATATTTGCGACAGTAGAACTACCGATGGACGTCCGCAAAGCTTCAAATACAATACAGTTATCTCTATTCTAATGCAAAATAAACAAGTCATTCAAGTTTAGTCATTATTTCAGTGTAAAATATTCATTAAACGAAAATTCCGCGAAATGGTGTTATCTTCTTTGGTGACTAAACTAGGTGACGTCATAGGTATGCTTCCGGCATCAAACGTAAACACCGGACGTTTTCTGGCTTCTTGTCCGCTTTAGAATGTAATAAAACTTGATAAAAAGAAGATTTCTAAGTGCAAAATTTGAGTTTTTTGGCCTATTATTGAAGAAATCTCATGTCAATACAATGTCAATATTCAAAATGTCGGCTTCCTTGGTTACAGACGGGGAGATAGATAATTTTACGCTTATTGTCATCCAATCAGAACCATTGATACAAAATAATTGCATTAGAATATATTATTGCCTGCAATTTAATTTTTAATTACTATTTGAATCAAAGTTGATTATTCGATATCCTTATATATTTGAATTAATTCTTACCTAATGCTATGTTATCTGACACATGTGTTATCGTGCTAGAATCAACGATAATATTACATTCACTGTCATTCAAACTGCATTTCCAAATTCCTCTTGATTTACTTATGACGAATAAGAATCTGAATCAGAAAATATAGTTAATTTAAATGTGATGATGTTGGCTGTGCATAACACTTTGTTTATGTATGATATCTTCACAACTACTAAATACACAATCCTTTGTCTAATAAAAGTAAGTTTAACAGACGTAGAATCTTTTTGAGTTTTTCAGGA